CCAGACCAGCCTAACTTGGTGGATGAGCACAGGTTGCTCTGCTGATGTGGTGAGGAGATGGCAGCAACATCTGTTTTGTGCAGGCAGTGGGGACACACCCAGTATACAGTGTGTGACAGTCCCTTGTATTCTGCAAGGGACTGTCTTTAGAAGGTATTTACAAACCTCCATGGCCAGTCGTAAGAAGCATGTGATACTTGTTACATCAGTTCCACTGGCTACCTCTCTTTTTCTGACAATAATTCAAAGTGTGGTTTATGATCTATAAAGTTTACATGGTCTGAGATCAGACTTTCTGAAAGACTGCAATCCTAGTATGGGCCTTTCCCAGTTTTAAATGCAATGATATTTCTAAGGATGATATCACTTCCTTTATCAATTGTAACCATAGTTTTTCCTGACTAACTGCTCTCTGGTGTTCATCTCAGGCCTCAGCATGATGATGTAGAACTTGGGAAGGAAGATACAGCCCAGCAAGCCAGCACCAGAGGCCAGGATGGAGAATATTTCCACAGCCACCATATATTTCCCTTTGGTGCTCAGGTACGTGGGCACGAAGGACACCCACACACTGCAGAAGACCAACATGCTGAAGGAGATCAGCTTGGCTTCATTGAAGCTATCAGGCAACTTCCTGGCCAGGAAAGCCACCGTGAAGCTGATGGTGGCCAGAAAGCCCATGTAGCTCAGGACAAGGTAAAACATGAGGTCTGAGCCTTCGTTGCATTGAACAATGATCTGACTGATCTCAGAGTGCATGTCAAACTCTGGGAAAGGGGGAGAAGCTGCCAGCCACACCACACAGATGCCAGCTTGAATGAGTGAAGAGAGAACAATGACAGATGCGGCCAGTCTCTTCCCCACCCATTTCCTCATCCTGTTTCCAGGCTTTGTGGCCATGAAGGCCAACACCACCGTGATGGTCTTTGCTAAGACACAGGACACAGCGATGGAGAAGACAATGCCAAAGAAAGTTTGCCTGAGAAGGCAGGTCACCCTCCCAGGTTTCCCAATGAAGAGGAAGGAGCAGAGGAAGCAGAGCAGCAGGGAGGCGAGCAGGGCACACGTGATGCTCCAGTTGTTGGCCTTGATGATGGGGGTGTCACAGTGCAGACTGAAGGTCCCAGTGACCACAGCTGTGATCACAGAAAGGAAGATAGCTAAGGACACCAGAGCTGCTGACAATGGTTCCTGGTAAGAGAGGTAGCTGATTTCTTTAGGAATACACTGGTCCTGCTTCTCATTTGGATACTGATCTTCTGGGCACATCTCACATTGGTCTGCTTCTGAAACGAAGAAGCAAAGCCTCAACATTTCCAGAATACTCCAAAATCTTTGCTTTCATCTAATCTGATCTTTCAACAAATAAGATATATTGCATGGGCCCTCCTTCTGGCACCATCTGTGATAGTTGCTTGCTCAGGTCGCCCTGTGCACAAGGAAATACATGTATCTGTACTCAGAACATACCTTAGACCTGAATATAGAACCTCTGGATTATTTTTAAAGTAACTTTGGACCCTCTCACTTACCCAGCTGCATTGAAATCCCCCCTTTGGGGCACTCACGGCAATCGTAGCAACAGACTTGCTTCCCCTGCTGGACAACCCTGCTCTGACCGGGGTGGCAGCTCTCCACACAGGTGGACCTGGGCAGCATCTAAGTATAGCCAATTACAGGACAGCAGGGTTAGAAATGGCTTCAAGACAGCTTCTTAGAAGTTCCCTGGCTTTCAGCAGAGGTCAGATACCATTTCCCAAGAGGGACATCACACTAATTTAGTTATGCATTCTTTCTTCAAGACAATGGTGGACCAGAGACTTCAACAAAAGTCACCTAAGCAGCCATCTCAGCAACAACTACTAGGAGGCCCCAGCATCTTTGACCCTTCTTCGAAAAGTCTCTCTTTGATCATCTCAGTACTATCAGTATGCGACCTGAAATAAAAAGGTTCTTTCCTTCTCAGGTGTAAGTCTCAGTTTTCAAACAGGAATAGAGGCTATTCTTGGGTCCAGCAAGAAGTATCAACCATCATTACCAGTAGCTGGCATGTGTTTTTGAAATGGGGCTGATGAGAAAGATGAGGATAAAAAAAACCCCATCCATCCCACCTGATTAAACTGTTGATTCCACACAATGGCACTCCCATTAATGGTGAACCCATCTTCTGGAGTAGCTTGAGGGTCCACCCTTCCAGCTTGAACTCTCTGGAATGATCCATTGGGGAAGGTGACCAAGTTGTTGAGATCGTATCCACCTGCCAGGTCCCCGTTGTCATCAAAGAAGATTTCTTCCTCAGCACTATTATTAAAGTGGATGCTTCTCAGAAAAGAGTGAAGCTGGATTGGAAGAGAAAAAAAATACACTCTATCATTTGTCTATTTATTAATTTAAATGCTAAACCACCCTTTCCCATTCAGTAACTACGTGGTGTAACAATGAGAAGGGGTCAGTGTTATTTTCTTGGAATTTGCTGAGTTGTGACATCTAGGAAGCTTCCAGATGAAGCATTTATTAGGCGATCTTCATCTTTCATCATAGACTTTAATGCCATGGGGGCCAAGGCAGGCAATGTTTTCTTCCTTTTGTAACTCTCCCAAATCTTCCTACTGCTTTCTCCATCTTTTCTGGAACAATCTTTCCGTCCATTAATGAGGGAAGCATAGATTTACTCCACAATGGCTTTGGATAGTGGCACTGAATATTTTCTGTACTGAAGCATCCTTAGACATTCAGTATTGATTTTCCAAAATAGCAGTGCCACCAAAGATGAACTTGCAAGTGCCTTGGCTTGCCAGGTCTTCAGAAGTACTCCATCGAAGCCGAGATGCAAGATGAGAAATCAAACATATAGTGCAATCATGAAGGGCATCCATGACTCCTCAGAGATTAGATGGAAAGGCATCAGCATAAGGAATCCCATTTTTCCCCAAGCACCTCTCTTCAATTCAAAGGGGCACTAGAGCATCTTTTTCAGCAATGTGAGTTGCAAAAAGGGATCACTGCAAAATTCTCCTGTTTAATAAATGGCACTTTTGGAACTTAGAATATAAAACCTGGTATCAATGATTTCATTGCTCCACAACTGTGCACAGTTCACACTGATGTGATCTAAACTGTGCTTAGCAGAGCATATTAAAATACATTGGGAATTTACACATGTGTGCATTTTACTCCGAGATGCATTGTGGCTCACTATTCTCCCTCCCCCTCTCCTTTCAATGTTTTAGTTAAAAATAAAGAAAAAAGAAAATGAAAAAGAAATGGATGTGCTATATTCAAGTTGCCAAGGAAGTGTTTTTAAAGGTATTCTCACTGATCACAGATCAATGAAGACATCAGAGTTGAGTTACAGTATCCCAGCGTTTAGGAGCTTGATCTTACATAAGATAGTCTTAAACTCTAGTTTAATCCAGCAAAGTTTTTACATTGCTGAATAAATGGACTCACATACCATTCACCTAGATGCGATAAACATAAAATTCTCTTTGAAGTTCTGCCATGAAAACTACAAGGATATGTCAAAGTTTTATGAAACTGCAGTCTAGCTTATCACAGTCATTCTTTGTGGAGTACGTTTTGTTTACCAGACTAACAGACTGCAACAAATGTGACTCCTCCATAAATTAATTTGGTAGATGTCCTGATGAACGGAAACCCAATTTCGTTTGAGGCAACATTAAGCAATAATGCCCTCTTGCTTAGATTGCTTTAAAAGGGGATAAGGAAGATTGGGATACGAGATGTCTAACATTGGTTCCCACTTGGTCTCTGCCATAGGAAGAGGGTGAGATCTTCCTTTTTAGTCATGCTGCATATGTTGAATTTGGTGACAGACATCTCCCTCATCTGTGTTGATTTATTTATGATCTGTGCTTTTTCCCCCATTTTCCTTCACTCCTAAGATGTTCTGCAATTTGTCTGTACTGCAACTACCTGCCATGGGTGAACTTGCTGGAGGTTCCATCTTTCCCCAGATCCTCTTGATTTCTCCTTGGTCCCCACCAACTCCATGGCATGGAGAGCATGTGCCACACCATGGACAGCATTGTAGACACTGTAGCTTTGGCCAGACATGTCCATCTCAAAGGTAGATCCAGGAAGGCTCCCCAGCTGTTCCTCCCCAGTGCAGATTTTCAGGTTAGGGAAGAAACGACTATGCTCTGGCAATGAACAGAGAAATGCAGTGAACCAGAAATGCTTGATGAAATAAATATTTGATTGAAATGGACGTATACTCTCAAGGAAGTTCTGAAACCCTGGCACCACTGCTGAATGGAGACTGAATGACAAGGTGCCATTTAAGGATTTGGGGGGAAATTTGTCCTTATTCAATATAGCAGGGATATCCCATTCAGCAGTTGTGATCCACACCCTCTCTAAAGGGTTGGTGTGAACAAACTCCGTCCAGTAGAACATCATTCTCAAAACCTCCAGAGAATGATTGTCACCATAGATGAGGGTCACATTGATTTCACTCCACAAGAGGGTCATTTGAATCGGTCTCCATTTTTCTTCAAATAATTCATCTGGTAAAAATGGTGTCACTGTTGGGATCATGTGCATCCAAGCAATGCAAATCTCACTCAGCAAAAGCCTTGGTCTCAGGGACCGAAGGAATGTTTCTCCACCGTCATTGTCTGAAGCAATGAGGCCAATCCAGGTCCACCCAAAATGCTTGAGCAGCTGCACGATTCCGACATACTGAGCCTCTTCATTGGGGACCATCCGGTAGAAAGAAGGGAACTGAGTTTTCTCCTTTAGGGCTGGATCAAAGGAGCCATAGCTGAGCTAATGGGGAAGATACGATGGCTTTTAATCTGAAAGCAAACATTCCTTTTGCCTCAAACATAAACTGACTTCAAAGAAATGTCTGTTGAGAACAACATCCTGATCTCATGGAAGTGGCCCTTCATGCAAACACTGTGTTTTCTAACATTCTACATCCTACTAAACTTGGTTTAAACTGTGAGTAGTCAGATTGTAGTATGATGCTAAGCAGGAGGAAACTGCCTTTCTCAGCATTGACACTTCTGTAGCAACACTGAGATACAGGACAGCACTCTAAGTGGAATGGATTCTAACTTACAGGAAGCTCCAAACATAGAGCCAATTATGCATTCAGAGGACCAGGCAGAGAGTTTTACCTTTCACACTTTTCAAATAGATGCAGCGTCTCTCACTTTCATTCGCTGAATACATACCTGTGGTATCTTGTAGGTAGTAAAGAGTTTGGCCATCTGGATGGAGTTTTGGGAGGTGAGCCCACCAATAACAGCTATTAATTCATCATTTCTGGCACAGTTATAATTGACAGGATCCCCATGCTCCGTAAACAGAAGTTTCAGAGTGTTCAGACCGGTGAGCACGGAATTAAAAACATTCTCATAGATCTTGGATCCCAGCGTGGTGTTGGGTAATACTTCAGCATCCTTGTTGATCTCATCAATAGCAAAGACAAAGGCAAGGACATGCTGATAGTTTCGATGGACCATGCTGTAATAAGATTGCTACATTATCTTGATATCAGAGATGCCATGGCATTACTGCTTGCATTGTGATTTGCTCCTCTAATTATGTTGGGTTTTGCTACAGGTACTATAGAATAATCTTGCTCAAATAGCAGATGTGAGGAAGGACTCCTAAGAATGCTGAACAAAAATATGAAAGTCACACAGTCTATGAGATCCAGTGGTGTGCAGTGGCTAAAAAGTGCTCAAGTCAATGATGAGCAGGTTTCACTGCAACCCTTCCTGTGAAAGGCTCTTCAGCCATTAGGAATGGAGTGAGGGGGTTACCAAAAAAGATAATAAAAGTCAGGTAACCATCAAAGGATTTCTGATTCAGGGAAAGCAGGTGAGTCCAAGGTAAAATGGAATGGACATCAGGTGAACCTGGAGTCCGCAAACAAGGACCTTGGCAGTTTCTGCACCCTGTTCTGTATCTAAATTTTACAGGAGAAGAACACAGCATTGGTGGTTAGGAAACTAGCATTATCTAATTTGTAGCTCCTAATTGCACTTCAGGTTCAATGAAAAAGCACTTATGGATGCCTCCAACAAGGAGGATTTAGCTGCTTCATTCCTCAAGCCACTTCCAAATACATGAACTGAGAGCTGGAGAGATTTTGACAAGAAAAAGTTCTAGTCTTGAATGGTTGATGGGTTTGTTATGCATTAACCTGCTGGTAGGTGGAGTGGTAGGAAATGACCCTGAATGCACATCACCCAGATTAAGGAAAGAGTAAGAGAAAGAAATAGGCTGGCCCTTAAAAGTAGCCGTTTATTATGCCATGCTAAGAAGGAGCAGAGGGCATAAAGAACACTGCAGAAAGACAAGGACCACCATACTTACTAGGTACTTGTTGGAGAAGACAGTGGGTATTTCACAAATTCTGGCACACTGAAGTTGCCAAGTAAAATAGATACAAATTCAGCAATGATATATGCATGAGCTTGAGCTGTTTTTCTGCTGTATATGGAAGAGCTCAAACTCATGATGGAATAACAATGCAACAACAGCACAATCGAAATCAGATGGAAAGATGGTCCATTTATCAGCTGAGCCAGAGCAGATGCTTTCATGTCCAAGTGGCCACCAAAAACTGTTTCAGTCCTGGCAGAAGATCCTTAAAACCTTGGAATGACACAGCTGTGACTGCCTCTAAATGATCTTTGAGATTCGAATGGATCAGGCTGTTTACAGAGCAGTCTGCATGGAATGCCATGCTTCAAATATACTGCTTTTGATAGGTATCTTTTCCAGGGGATTTCTAAAACTAGCACTGCTGATTACACTCATTTTAATAATTGTAGGGCAGGTCATGTATTTTGACCTAGTCCTCGTGTCTTAGAATAGGCAGAGAAAACATGTTCCTACAATCACGTGCGAGAGCTTGGCCTACCATGTCTTGGAAGAACACAACTCTCTAGAGAGCAATGTTGGGTAGAAGCAGTTTCTTGGACAGTTGGCCTAACTTTCTGAAAAGATAAAGGTAAGAACGATCTGGAGGTGTTCTCTGACTTTCAGCTAAGGGCAAGCTCCACTTCCCAAGAAGGAAACTAAGACTGTTTTTGCAATTGGCTCTTTGGGCTGCATTAATCACAAACCTCTCAAATGGGCCAAGTTTCTCTGCCTTTGCTTTGTGCCATAGTTCCTGAGCTAAGCACGGAGAGTTGAGTTCTGAATTTTGAGCCCTGATCAAGAACATGAAAATGACACACTCTTCAGTGGGGCTTAGCAAATGTTGAAAAGCCCGCTATTTCTAACTTCCAAACTTCTGCCAAGGATTTGGGCTAGGCCTTCAGCAGCCACTGGCAATCAAAAGACTGTTCAGCAGAAGAGGTCCTTTGCTTTTGAAAATGAATCCAAATTGCTAGCCCACATTGTTGCAGAGAATAACCTCTTTCAGTGCCTTGATTTCCTTCCTATGTACGTGCCTTTGTTTTCTGATCATCCGTTATCCAGGACTTTAAGCATGACAGGTGTGCAATAGGCAGAGTTTCATATAAGCTCAAGACCCCAGCAGAGTCAGTCTGTCATCAGACTTTATGTCTCATTAAACCTCAGGAGAACATTTCAGAGTAGGTGAATGGCTTCAAAGCCAGTGCAGCAGTGTATCCTCTCCAGGTTTCAGACTGACGTTTAAAGGAGATGTCCATGGTGCTGAAATCTAACTCCCCCAAACCATGGACAGTGCCTTTAAATGTTCAGTCTAAAAGCCAGAGTGGATGCACTGCCCCACTGGAGAAAGTCTTGTCTAGAGTAGCCATCTTTACTCACCTGAAGATGAGGGTCCTTAAAGAAGACCTTCCGATGAAAATTTCCACAGGTAGACTGAATGCATAGCACTGGGAGTTGAAGACTTTCTTCTGTCTTTTCATGGAAAGGATTACATCTTTGAGTTAAGGATCTCATGAGTTGAAAGGGTACTTTTGGAGCCTACTTGTCCAACCCATAATTATTGGGGAAAGGTGACATGCCCTGAATCCTTTATAGTTTATGAGAATTTGTTGGCCCCTTATTAGCATGTAGCTGAGGCCATAAGGAAAAACCTGAGATGTCCTTGACCATCCCCAAAGCCTCTCAACCCAATGGACTGAAAAACAAGGGGACATTCTGTGCTTGCTGCTCATGGCCAAGAGAAGTCCTGACATCTCAGGTCAGCTTCTTGTTATTGGTACTGCTCACCTTTCCCTACAACAAATGAATACAGCAGCTGGAGGATGAAGGCCACCCTCGTAGCATTCTTGTTCACCTTGTCCTTCACTATCGTCTCTACCATTGTTCGTGATCAGCCTCAGGAACTATGCGGAAGGGATTATCTAAGAGCCATCGTCAGCCTCTGCCGCTCTGCCTTGATTAGGAGACACACTCGGATCGTGTACACGCAGGAACTCTCCGGTAAACTTAGAAGGTGATTTCTCTGTCTCTTTTTGGAAAGTGGCTATGAAAGTTTGCGTAGGAGTGATGCTTCCTGGTGGTTTGGTTACTGCTCACCCACCCCACCCAGGTGTGGCCAGGCTTCCTAAGCATGCAAAGGCTGGAGAGAAATTTTGCTCATGGTGAGGACCAAAAGAGCAGGGCTGGAAGATCAATGAGTTTCAGGTGGCACCAGCTGCCGCTATGAGCTCTGGTGTTGGCAGGGCCCTGGATCCATGCTGGTTCCCATCTGGACTTCCGAAGGGGCCTCCATGGTGTGAACTTATTTTCGGCATTGGATATTGAACCATGGATCATTCTTGAAAAGTTCAGGCTGAAAACTGAGTGCAAGAGAGAGAGTGAAGAGAGATGATACAGAAACTGTGTAGGAAATCAAAATGCCATGATTGATCAGGTCTCAAGCTTTTAAGTTGCCTCTGTTTCTACCCTCACACACCCACAAATTAGGGCTGCTAAAATGAAAGAACAAAACAAAACAAACCCAAGAGTAGATGTTGGTATGAGATGACTGTGAATTTAGCTATGATCCTAAAAACAAAAGAGTATATGCAGATAATATTTGTGCAAAAATGGCTTTATTTTCCTGAGAGCAGGACTGAGGAAAAATGAAGTATTTTCCCCATACCCTCCCACCACAAAAGAAAAAAAAATCTGATCAATTTTGGTGCCACTAGATTTGAACCTGGGTCTCACTTTTAGGGAGCCATCATACGACTCTTAGCTCTCTTCTGCAGGAACTCCACACTGGCTGCCTCCTGAAGTTCAGACACTCAGCCTTGGGGGGTGGGGGCATAAAGGAGGCATTTCAGTGGCACTGAGAGGGGAGGAGACTGTGGAGTCCATTGATCCTGCATCCTTTGGCTTCTTTCCTCCTTCGCCCTCTGTATATGACTGAAACTATACATCTACAAATGCAGAGCAAGAGCAGCTGAGAGCCAATGATTCCTTCCACCTCTCTGCACTAGAGTTTGGAGGCAAGGAAGATCTCCGTAGGTCGGTGCCCTCACCTCCATGCCACAGTAGCTGTTCACAGTTTGATGCCAGCCCCGAGAAAGAAAAGCCCCATTGTTATGTTGGCATTCTGTTTTCATGAAGCAGGTGGCGAGAGAAGCAGGAACACTGGGACATCCTGAGCTGAAAGGGCAATGCTATCACCCCGAGAATGAATAAAGTTGACAACTAAATGCTGTGAAGTTGCCTGTACCTCACAAGATCTGGAAGTCTTTTGTGATTGGGACGGAGAATCCTATTGAAATGGAGTTCTGTTCCTCTGCAACACATTCCAGGGGGATTCTATCCATGTTCCCTGTGAAGTGAAGGACATGCTGTTCAATGGAAAATGGAAATATTTCCTAAGCTCTCAGGAAACTGATCAATAAAGCAAAAGCACAAAACCTCTCTGATTTGTGCTGGAAGCCATTCATTCTGACTGCATTGTGTTTTCATTCTAACTGGACTACAAAATTACGTTTTCAAGTCACATCCTTCTAGGTTCCTGTATCTGCCTCTTCATCTGGTCCCCGAGCTCCTATTTTATTCCCCTGTTTCAAAGTGCAGATCCTTCGCATCTATGTCTAATGTTCCCAATACCATTGGTACTTCATAACACTTGCCATATGTCTTTATATTGCCCTTGGGGCAGCTTTTTCTTAATGGAGAGCATTTGCCAGGGGCATCAGCAAAAGTAATGGGCAGCGTACAACCACAGATAGCAGGAAATGCATAGGAACTGAGGGGGGCTTGTGAATCGCTCAGGGGGAAACCATCAGCAATAGATGGCACAAGTTCTGTGAGAAACATAGAAACAGAGCAAGTCAGAAGGGACCTCCTGGGTCATCTAGTCTGACCCCTGGCTCCAGCCAGCTCCACTCATGACATGCCTACCACGTGCATGTCCAAAAGAAGGGCTCATCCGGGATTTGAACCCGGGACCTCTCACACCCAAAGCGAGAATCATACCCCTAGACCAATGAGCCAGCTGAAAGTTAAGGAAAGAAGACGCTTAATATTGGGAGGAACAGGGTAGTCATGGAAGTCCTGGGGGCAGGGAAGA